CCGCCGCGCCCCGAGGCCATCTTCGCCCCCTGTCCCGGCAGGCCGCGGCGCGCCTGGTGGCCCAGGAGTGGTTCCGAGTGTCAAGCCTGCGGCGCTCCCGGGCGGACGCCGTGGCCAAGGTGCTGGAAGGGGTGGCGCACCTGGGACCTGAGCTGCTGGCGCACGTGGTGAACCTGGCCGACGGCAACGGGAACACGGCCCTGCACTACAGCGTGTCCCATGGGAACCTGGCCATCTCGAGCCTGCTGCTGGACACGGGTCAGAGCCAGGAAGGGCGGGCAGGGGGCCGGGAATGGGGGCGGCGAGGTGAGTGCGTGGGCCGACCTGGTCTGGAAGACCTGGGGAAGGCCGCGACGGGTTGGCCGGCAGAGGGCACCGCTGGCCCTTAATGGGGTTTCAAGCTTCCCGACGGGGGGACTGCCAGGGGTCTTTGACCCCACCAAGCCCTCCTCCCACTTTGCACGGGGAGGGGATACCCAGCTCTGCGTTTAGGTAGGCCTCAGTTCGTGGGCATCCCTTCATCTTGCCAGCCTTAGTTTGCTCATCTGTGACAAGGGTATGACAAGGGCTCCTTCCCTGGACAGCAGGATAATCCATGCAAAACGTCCAGGCACGTAGTAGGTCAGTAGATGGCCACCAGGCCTTCTGTCCCTGAATCTTCAGCCTGGGAGTCACTGAGTTCCTGAGCCCCAGTGCCCAGCTTCAAGGGGAGGTACTCACTGGCCAGGGCTGTGACCACCCTCCTGGTCTGGGGCGCTAGGCCTGCCGTCCGCAACCCCCACACCCTGCACCAGCTCCATTCCCTGCCTCCTGTTTGCTTCCCCCGCTGCCACAGCTTCCTCCCTCTGGAGTAGAGACACACCCATCCAGATGTTGCTGAGAGCCCACCAGGCACCAGGGCCGCACTGGGAGGCAGGCCAACCCCCGCCCCCGCTGGTTTCTCACGTGACCGGGCACAAACCGTTGCCCACCAGGAGCCCTCCCCCCAGTGCCCTCTTGCAGGCCGTTACCCCTGGACCTGCCTGCGGAGGCCTGTGGCACTCACTGCAGGCGAGGAGGGTCCCACTCTCTGCCTGCCCCCCCCACCCAAACATGCAGATCCTGTCCATCCCTGCAGGGCTTGGTGACTGGGGAAGGACACAGCTGCCTCGTGAGCTGGGGTCCTGGGGGTCGGGGCAGGGAATGAATCCAAATTGGGCTCCTGAGCCTCTCGTGCCTTTGAGGGGGCTGGGGCCGCAGCAGGGGCAAGACAGGCGCCGTGGGTCCCCTTCACCCCCCAGCCTTGACTCCAGCTTCCCCTGGACCCTTGGTCCTCACCCAGATCCCCCGGCCCCTGCCTGCTGGCCGGCGTGGGAACCTAGGGCTCTTCCTGGAGCCCAGCATCCTCGGTGCCCGACCCATGCAAGGCACGGTTCCCTCTTCATCACCCTGGAACTGGGGACTGGAGGTGGCTGTGCCCGGCTTTGTTGTCGCTTTCCACTCCATCGCCCCTCCTCCTCCCCAGCCTCTCCCTGAAGCCTCTGTGGATCAGACCACTCAGCTTTTTTTTGAATTCTCCTGACCTCAAGGCACTTTTTCCTTGAGTTTTGCCCCTGGCCTGTTCTCCCTCCTGCCTCCCATCGCTTCAGGCTGTGATGTTCTTACATCCAAGTCCAGTGAGGCAGAACACTCGTTTGCACCAATGACTTGAAACGGGCTTCTTACCGGCAGATGGCCAGTGGAGGGCAGCAGAGGCCTAGGACTGAGGGTGATCCGATCCCCCAAGGCACAGGAAGGCTGCCCAAGGTGGATGGCATCTAGTCTGCTGGTACCCCACCTGCACTGCGGGTGAGGGACCCAGGCACGTAGCCCACCCTGGGTTGTATACTTCAAGCGATCCTCCTGCTTCAGCTTCCTGAGTAGCTGGACTACATGTGTGTACCACTATGCCCAGTAAATCGTTTTTTTTTTTAAGTTGTAGTCTCACTCTATCGCCCAGTAGCATGCTCACAGCCACCCCAGCCTCCACCTGCTGGGCTCAGGCGATCCTTCTGCCTCAGCCCTCCAGAGTCTCACTCTGTCACCCAGACTGGAGTGCAGTGGCCGCTCCCAGTCACCGTAGCCTCAGTCTTCCAAATAGCTAGAACTACAGGTGCGTGCTACCACACCCGGCTCATTTTTTAATTTATTGTAGAGATGAGATCTTGCCAAGTTGCCCAGGTGGGTCTCAAACCTGCAGGCTCAGGCAATTCGCTCACCTTGGCCTCCCAAAGCGCGGATTACAGGCTGAGCCACCGAACCTGGCCTGGTTAATTCTTTAAAAAATTTTTTGGTCTTGATGGAGTCTTGCTATGTTGCCCAGCCTCATCTCAAACTCCTGGCCTCAAGTGATCCTTCCACCTTGGCCTCCCAAAGTGTTGGGTTACAGGCATGAGCCACCATACCTGGTCCCCATTTATTACACCATTTGACTTAACTGTTTATTCCCCAGTCCTTATCTCAGATTCCCTCCATCTGTCACCTGGGTATCTGTTCCTTGTGCCCCATCCAGGGCCTTTCCCCAACCCCCTTACTATACACACCTCCCAGCCATTCATCCCCCAAACACCCCATCCTCCGGGAACGATCAGAATGGCAGGGATAGGCCCTAAAACAGTCATGCCAGGAGATGCGGTCCAAACAGAGGTGGACACTGTGAAGGGGCCAGGAACAGAACTGATCCCAGAGGAAGCTGAGCTAACGCTGTTTACTTCAGAAGGATGGGTAGCACTAAGAGATAAGCATAAACAAAACCAAGTAAGTCCCTGCCAGTTCAAAACAGGGAAGTCAAGGAAGGCTTCACAGGAGGTGAGGTTTGAGCAAAACTCAGATGAGCCATGTGGGGGACGTACCCAGGCTTGGAGGGTGAGTGGACCAGGTTGGGCTGGGGGTGCTGGCCTCTTGGTGGACGGGCACCCTTTTCTCTCCCAGGGGTCTGTGAAGTTAACCGCCAGAACCGAGCCGGCTACTCAGCCCTCATCCTGGCTGCTCTCACCTCCGTGGGGCAGAAGGAGGATATGGCTGTGGTCCAGAGACTCTTCCACATGGGCGACGTCAATGCCAAGGCCAACCAGGTGTGTGGACACCCATACCATGGCTCTGAATCCAAGCATCACTTTCACTTTGGGAATCAGCCCAGGCTCGGACATCCCTTCCCCCAGAGTTCACCATAGCCTTGTCACCTTCTTCCCCCTCCCCAGACGGGGCAGACAGCCCTCATGCTGGCCATCAACCATGGGCGACAGGACATGGTGGCAGCCCTGCTGGCATGTGGGGCTGATGTGAATGCACAAGATGCAGATGGGGCCACAGCGCTGATGTGTGCCAGCGAGTATGGGCGCCTGGATACTGTGAGGCTGCTGTTGGCACAGCCAGGATGTGACCCGGCTATCCTGGATAACGTGAGCCACCACTATGGGGCTGGGGTTGGGAGGGGCTACCCAGGCTTCGGCTCGGGGTCCCAACAGTCCCCAATGTTCCTCAGGAGGGCACCAGCGCCCTGGCCATCGCCCTGGAGGCTGAGCAGGATGAGGTGGCAGCTCTGCTCCACGCCCACCTGAGCTCGGGCCAGGCTGGTTCCCAGGTGAGTGCAGCCCACGCAGCTGCCTCCAGCTGCAAGTTCAGTTTGGGCAGGATATCAAATATGCCCAGGGCACCCCTTCTGCTCCCCCAGGGGTAGAGAACCTGTGTCTAGAGTCTCCTTTGCAGCTGGGTTGCTTGACCTGCAAAAGGCCTGTGAGGTAGAGTCCTCTAGAAGGGAAGTAACCTGGCTAATGTCATGCCTAAGGGACCTAAGTACCTGGCTCACACCTCTCAGCATGTCCCTGGTTCCTGTCACCCCCGAGGGAGGCTCATGTCAAAAGAAAAAGGAGCCCCCTGGCCTTAGGCAGAGTGGGAGGAAACACAGGCTGTCATCCTATGCCTCTGAGCTTCAGTGGAGACTGGGCAAGTTTGCCAGCATTGGGGAGGGCAGGCCTGGGAAACAGGGTTTACCCCAAGGGAAAAGACTTAGACTCTGATGGCAAATGCCAGGTTCTGTCCTCAGCATTTGGCAGTCATTTTATCAGCCAACCCATTCTGCGCAGATGGTCCCCAACCTGTACAAACAGCTCCACCTACCACTTGACTTTATGGCGTGCAAAAGGAACACACGCTCGGTAGAAACCAGTGCCATATTAAGTTACATGAACGAGTCAACATACCTTTTTGTAAGCCAAGCTTTGTATTAGATAGTGTTGCCTGACCATAGGCTAGTGCTTAAGCACATTTAAGGCAAACTAGGCTATGCCATGATGTCCAGTAGGTTAGGTGTATTAAACACGTTTTCAACTTACGATGGATCTATGGGGACATAAACCCATCATAGATCGAGGAGCATTGTCCCACCCACTATAAAAGGTGCGGGAAGAGAGATCAGGTGCCTCTTTGAAGTAAAAAAGGAGGAAGAGAGCCGGGCTCGGTGGCTCAGCCTGTAATCCCACGCCTTGGGAGGCTGAAGTGAGTGGATTGCCTGAGCCCGCGGGTTCGAGACCCACCTGGGCAACTTGGTGAGACCTCATCTCTACAATAAATCAAAAATTAGCCGGACGTGGTAGCACGCGTCTGTAGTTCCAGCTACTTGGAAGACTGAGGCAGAAGGATCTCCAGAGCCCAGCAGGTCGAGGCTGCGGTGGCCGGGAGCGGCCACTGCACTGCAGTCTGGGTGACAGAGACTCCAACTCAAAAAAAAGGAAGAAGAGATGAGATTCAAACCAGGCAGCCTAGCTCCAAGGGAAAGGTAAGGTGGTCCCTCCTTAGGAATGACCATGGTAGGAGCCTCCAGTAGGTGAATCATCCTCAAGTCTGGGGGGTCTGAAACCCCCTGGCCTCTTGCCTGAAGGAGATTGCAGCTGGACCCCTCCTCTCTCTAGAGCCAGCCACCCCCTGACTCGCCCACAGCCACACCCAGTGAAGAAGAATACGCTGACAACAAAAAGGACCCTGAAGCCCAGTGAACTGCCCAGTCTGGTTCACTAGACCTGGGTAGGGAGATCTTTCACATCACCTGAGCCTCTGGGGCACAGCAGGGGCCAAGGTCCTCTGGATGCAAAGCCAATTCAGCTGAGGTGGCTGTATCAGGGAGGGGCACAGCTTGGCCTCACCCGCTCGCCAAAACTTCTCCCTTAATAAAATTTCCCTACTAAGCCTGTGTCTTGTCTGGGGCAGAGGGTGGACACGGATGGACACAGACACACACACACACGCACACACACGATCCCCTCTCCTCAAAAAGGAATGCCTTCTTGGGGATGAACCCCCACCCCCCAAAAGAGCCAAGAGGCCTCCACAGAAACCCAGCGAAACGCTGACAACCCAGACCGGCCGAGCTGACATACCACACAAACGCTTTATTTAACAGTCGCAGACCATGACCATCCCCGAGTGTCGACCCCAACATCCAGGACCCTGCAAACAGACCAAAGCATGAGATGCTAACAGGCCCCCCCCCCCAGAAACTGGCAAACCCCTCGCTCCCGCTTACTAGTCTCTGCAGACTTTCTGCCTCCCCCCACAAGCCAAGGCTCTGGCAGGGGCCTCCTCTCTGCACCCACCGGCAGCCAAGCTCAGCGCAGCCTCCGAGCCTCTCGCTCGGACTCCAACAGGGTGAGCACGTCGCCCTCGCGCACCGGCCCTTTCACGTTGCGGATGATGGAGCGGCTCGTGTCGTCCATGAATTCCACGCGCACCTACGAGCCCCAGGGCGGGAGGGAGTCAGCGCGGGCCACGGATGGGCGCCGCGGCGTGGACTCAGAGCACGTGTCCGGGTCGGGCCATAAACGTAACGGGGAACATCAGAGCCGAGGAACGAGCCGGACGGAGCTCGGACCCGGTTAGCAGGGCCTTGGTGAGGGCTCGGAGCCCCCGGCATCTCTGGGACGAAGGATTCTCGGCTTCCTGAGTTACCAGGAAGGATCGCAGACTCGGGGATGGGACGGGTCGGACCCCCCAGTCGGCGGGGCGCCCCCAAGCGCTCACCTGCGTGCACTGTCCCTGCGAGCCGGTCCTGCCCAGCACTTTGGTGACCTGGCGGAAAGAGGCTGGGGTCAGACCTGGCCCGCCCGGCTCCTCTGCTCTTTCCCTCCCTCCCCGCTCCCCAACTGAGGCCCCCACCTCACCCTGGCCAGCTTGATAGGCTGCACACGGCTGGTATCCATGATGGCGGCACGGCGGCGCTCGGGCGGAGAGGAGTCACGTGCTTCGGGGAACGCCTTTAAAGAAGGCTCTGGCCCCGCCCACTTCCGCTCTCGCGAGACGCCTTCGCGTCCTTCCCAGCAGCCCCCGCGGTGGAAACGTCAGGGGCGCCCTTCAGTGCGGACGAAGGATGGCGTCCGCTACCCGTTTCATCCAGCGACTGCGGAATTGGGCGTCCGGGGTGCGCGGGACGAGGGGGACCGCCCCAGGGGGGCTGTGGGCTCCGTGTGCCCCGGCCGCGCTGCCGCTACTCACTTTCCTCCTAAGCCAGGATCCGCCAGCTCGTGATTCCGTCAGCTCGGGATGCATCTGCCCCATGTTCGGCCCTAGACCCTCTCTCCCCCGGGACCCACTCATGCCTGGGCTCGTCCTAGCCCCCGACCCTCTCAGCTCTGGATCTTGGAGGCCCAGATCCCGGGTTTCGATTTTTCCTGCCCCTGGCTGTCCATCGCTTGCCTTCCGTTCGTTGCTTATCCCCAGGCCATCCCTGTCCCCTCTCTCTCCTCCCCCGGAGGCCTTGGAGCCTAACCTCCCCTCTCCTCCTCCCACAGCAAGATCTGCAGGCGAAGCTGCAACTGCGCTACCAGGAGATCTCCAAGCGGTGAGCAGGCCCCGCTCGCTGCCCAGCCTCCGGCTCGGTCCTTCTTCCAAAAGCAAAATCTGTGTGTTGCTTTAGACTCCTGGAGCGCTGGGCTGAGACCCTGCCTCCACCCCCGTGCCAGACCGTGGAGGCGGGTTTGCCGTAACTTTGCTGGACTCCGGAGCCGGCTCCTTGGGACAGCCAGGCTGGGCGTGTATTATGAGTGGGAATCCCGAGTAGATTTGCAGTCCTTAGTGTGGCCGTGTCTGTTAGTGTTATCATTCCCAAGCTACAGATGTAAAAAGTTGGCCCAGAGAGGCTAAATGATTTGCCTACAGTCACTCAGAAGCTGGAAAGTGACAGCTGGGATTTGAACCCAGAAGTGTCCTGATTCCGAACTCACTGATGATCCCAAATTAGTTGGTGTTTACAAACCTCTGTCATGTATGTCCTCGACCCTGGGGAAAAGTTCTTACTCACACTCCTTGTCTTGAGCTCACATCCCAGGGAGAAACATACTAGGTAAATAAACAGGGCAAGTAACATTGTTCTGGAATGCTTTGAAAACAAAACAGAATGATTCAGAGGAACTGGCAGGTGGCCACCTGAAGTCAGATGTTTGGGAAAGGTCTCGCATTTGAGTCACTTGAATGATGAGAAGGGCCCACTCAAGGGATAAATATTGGAAAAGAGTTCTTTGGGTTGTTTTGTTTTATTTTTGAGTCAGAATCTCACTTTGTCGTCCAGGCTGGAGTGTAGTGGCACGATCATGGCCACCCCAGCCTCAGCATGCTGGGCTCAGGCAATCCTTCTGCTTCAGCCTTCCGAGTAGCTGAAACCACGAGGCATGTGCCACCAGGCCCGGCTAATTTTTTGATTTATTGTAGAGACGAGGTTTCACCAAGTTGCCCAGTCTGGTCTTGAACCACTGAGCTCAGGCAGTCTCTTACCTTCGCCTCCCAGAGTGCTGGAATTACAGGTGTGAGCCACTGGCCTGATCAGTCTTTTTTTTTTTTTTTTAAGTCTGAGTAGTCTCACTCCATCGCCCAGGCTGGAGTGCAGTGGTACGCTCACGGCCACCCCAGCGGCAACCCGCTGGGCTCTGGGTGATCCCTTCCACCTCAGCATTCCAAGTAGCCGGAACTACAGGTGTGTGCTACCACGCCCAGCTAATTTTTGATTTATTGTAGAGACAGGTCTCACCAAGTTGCCAGGGTTGTTATTGAACCGGTGGGCTCAGGCAATCCACTCCCTTCAGCCTCCCAAAGTGCTGGGATTAAAGGCTGAGCCACCAAGCCCGGCCCTTTTTTTATTTTTATTTTTTTGTTTGTTTTTTTGAGTTGGAGTCTCACTCTGTGGCCCAGGCTGGAGTGCAGTGGCACGCTGCTCATGGCCACTGCAGCCTCGATCTGCCAGGTTCCGGCGATCTTTCCACCTCAGCCTTCCAAGTAGCTGAAACTACAGGCATGCACCACCACGCCCAGCTAATTTTTTGATTTATTGTAGAGATGAGGTCTTGCC